TTTTTTTTTTTTTAAGGCGAAGTATCACTGTATCACCCAGGCTGGATTGCAGTGGCGCGATTTCAGTTCACTGCAACCTCTGCCTCCTGGGTTCAAGTGATTCTCCCGACTCAGCCCTCCAAGTAGCTGGGATTACAGGCACCTGCCATCATGCCTGTGACCGAGTCATGTACCCAGTCTCTTTTTTTGAGACGGAGAGTCACTCTGTCGCCAGGCTGGAGTGCAGTGGCATGATCTCGCTTGGCTCACTGCAACCTCCGCCTCCTGGGTTCAAGCGATTCTCCTGTCTCAGCCTCCTGAGTAGCTGGGATTACAGGCACATGCCACTATGCCCAGTTAATTTTTGTATTTTTAGTAGAGACAGGGTTTCACCATGTAGGCCAGGCTGGTCTCAAACTCCTGTGCCTGCCTTGGCCTCCCAAAGTGCTGGGATTACAGGCGTGAGCCACAGCGCCTGGCCTTTTAAAATATATATATATATATATATATATATAATTGTTTTTTGAGACAAGAGTTTTGCTTGTTGCCCAGGCTGGAGTGCAGTGTTGAGATCTTGGCTCACTGCAACCTCTGCCTTGGGTTCAAGCAATTCTCCTGCCTCAGCCTCTCAAGTAGCTGGGACTATGGGCATGCAACATCACACCCGACTAATTTTTTTTGTAATTTTAATAGAGACAGTTTTATCATGTTGGCTAGGCTGGTCTCAAACTCCTGACCGCAAATGATCTGCCAGCCTCAGCCTCCCAAAGTGCTGGGATTACAGGTATGAGTCACTGTGCCTGGCCTGTAACACTATTTCTTGATATAAGACTTGTTTCATTTATTGGGCGCACAGGTTCTTCTAATCTGGAAATTAATGTCCTGCAGTTCTGTAGAACTTGCTAATGTTATTTCTCTATTAATGTGCTACCTCTCTTTTCCTTGTACTATTTTTCTGGAAGTTTAAACAAGAGAAGTTGTATTGCATGGGTTGATTATCTAAAAGTTATTTATGTTTTAGTTTTCTTTTTGAGACGCAGTCTTGCTCTGTAGCCAGGCTGGAATGCAGTGGCACGATCTCAGCTCACTGCAACAACCTCCGCCTCCTGGGTTCAAACAATTCTCCTGCCTTAGCCTCCAGAGTAGCTGGGACTGTATGACGCCCGCCATCATATCTGGTTAAATTTTGTATTTTTAGTATAAACAGTGTTTTACCATGTTAGCCAGGCTTGTCTTGAACTCCTGACCTCAGGTGATCTGCCTACCTCAGCCTCCCAAAGTGCTGGGATTACAGGCATGAGCCACCACGCCTGGCCTTGTATTTTAGTTTTTATCACAGTCTCTTTGTTCTTCTAGTCTTAATATTTCTTTTTCAGTTTCTAACAACTCTTTTTTGTTGTTGTTTTTGGAGGCAGAATCTTGCTTTTTCGCCCAGGCTGGAGTGCAGTGGCGCAATCTTGGCTCACTGCAATTTCTGCCTCCCAGGTTCAAGTGATTCCCCTGCCTCAGCCTCCTGAGTAGCTGCGATTACAGGCATGAGCCACCATGCCCAGTTGATTTTTGTATTTTTAGTAGAGACGGGATTTCACCATGTTGGCCAGGCTGATCTCCAACACCTGACCTCGTGATCCGCCTGCCTAGGCCTCCCAAAGTGCTGGGATTACAGGCATGAACCACCATGCCCAGCCCTAACAACTCTTTTTCTGATTGATGATCACAGCTAATTTTTGTATTTTTAGTAGAGACAGGGTTTTACATGTTGGTCAGGCTGGTCTTGAACTCTGTACCTCAGGTGATCCATCCATCTCAGCCTCCTAAAGTGCTGGGATTATAGGTATGTGCCACTGCACCCAGCCAGTCATTTTCTCTTTATCCTCTGCCTCCCACTGCACTGTTATCCTTGGATTTCTCAAGTTCCATTTTTCTACCCATTCATTTTCTCCTACTGTCCTGCCACCTAACTGAAATCTACTGCTGTATGGGATGGGAAAGTTTCCTGGGCTCTGACTGTTTAGGGAATTTCAATCAGTTCTCTATGGTCAGCCCTGTGCCTCAACCCTATCCACCTCTAAACCTGGGTTTCAGGGTGGGTGCCTCTCACAGTTATGCCGACATCAGCCAGCTTTTCATCAGCATTCCCGGATTCAGGCACTTCGGGTTATATCCCCTTCCACTATGCTAAGGCACTTTATCTCTTTTCAATCTTCTAAGACTTTATTGAAATCTCTCACCTGTTACTGTCACCTCTTTTGTTTTCTCTTTGATTTCTTCATTGTTAATTTAGCGGACTCTCAGGATGAAGAGGAGAAGATTCTATTAATCTGTCATCTTTAATGAGAAGTCTCACGTATACTTTATTTTAATTTTTTTTTTTTTGTTTTGTTTTTGTTTTTTTTGAGACGGAGTTTCGCTCTTGTTACCCAGGCTGGAGTGCAATGGCGCGATCTCGGCTCACTGCAACCTCCACATCCTGGGTTCAGGCAACTCTCCTGCCTCAGCCTCCTGAGTAGCTGGGATTACAGGCACGCGCCACCATGCCCAGTTGATTTTTTGTAGTTTTAGTAGAGACGGGATTTCACCGTGTTGACCAGGCTGGTCTCAAACTCCTGACCTCAAGTGATCGCCTGCCTCGGCCTCCCAAAGTGCTGGGATTACAGGCATGAACCACTGCGCCCAGCCTCACATACATTTTTAAATAAAGACTTTTGCACTGTTCCTTTACTGTGTAGAACTAACTTAGGAAAAAGTAATATACTGGCCAGGCGTGGTGGCTCATGCCTATAATCCCAGGACTTTGGGAGGCCAAGGTGGGTGGATCACTAGAGTCAGGAGTTTGAGACAAGCATGGCCAACATGGTGAGACTCTGTCTCTAGCACAAGTACAAAAATTAGCTGAGGATGGTGGCACATGCCTGTAATCCCAGCTATTCTGGAGGCTGAGGTGGGAGAATTGCTTGAACCTGGGAGGCAGAGGTTGCATTGAGCTGAGATCAT